ATAGCAGCTCCGGTCTAGAAAACTGAAATCAACGGCCATGGGGATTCATTGCACTGACCACGCAACACCCTCTATCTTCAAAAGTTGGCACTAAACTTCACCGAAAAGCGGCGGTCACTCGGTCAGTGTAGTTCGCTTGCGGATTCAAGCCACGGAGTTTTTTTATTTTAATTTTATACATTATCTAATAGTACCTTGCATTATCTGTTGTTTGTGGAATGTTAGCACATTCATTTATTAGAAGTAATACTTCCAAACATTTAATGCTGTATGCTGCGTCTGTGCTCTAGTGCTCAGAGTTCCTGGCTAAAGATCCAGAGGTCCGGGTTTGATTCCTGGCACTACCAGATTTTCTGAGATGTAGTGGGCCTGGAACGGGGTCCACTCAGCCTTGTGAGGATAATTGAGGAACTACCTGAATGGAAAAGTAGCGGCTCCGATCTAGAAAACCAAAATTAACGGCTGTGGAATCCGTTGCACTGACCACGCAACACCCTCTATCCACTAAAGTTGGCACTAACTTAGCCGACAAGCAGCGGTTACTCAGTTGGTATAGTTTGCTTGCAGACTAAAACCACAGAGTTTGATTTGTGTTTGTTTATTTCAATGCTCTGTTATCTCAAGTTGTCAGTTCTTTGCATTTAGTTGGAATATACGTACTATAGCCATCATTTAATGATACTTGATTTAAAGTTTTCCCTCATATAATGCTCAATTTCAGTGATCCAAATCAGTGTTAAATTTCTTCCATTGAACATTTCCCTTGGATTAGCATTCAAACCCATTGCTCACCAAAGAAGTTTTAAATGTGAATTACACTGAGTATTTTGTATATGTGTGAATTAACATACTGTCGCATGTCCGCGGTTTCATGATTAATAATTGTGGATTTTGGATTGGATGATTAGGTTTATTTGATGTCAGTATCACACTTACACTCAATTATAACAGTTCACACATTTTCTATGTTCTCTCATACTTCACTTCTGGACACTTGACTTCAATTCTGAAATCTGAACTTCACGAATGCATTCTGTTTCATATGTGCTTGGCATACCGAATAGGGGACACCGAGTCCAATAGTTCTGTATTTCATATCTGTGGTAACTTTGTGCCTAAGGATGTGTTACCACAGAGCCAAATCCAGCTCTACAGTAACCTATATGCCTAGTTGAGTGTTTTCACAGAAGTTCATGTATAATAACCCCATGGTAAACTATTGTCATGGGAACATGCTATATTAATACTCATTGCCTAGGAAATCAACTTGTCACATCACATTACATTTCACATTGTCTTAGAACATGAAGATATCCAAACATGGAAATGTTAATGTTGTAGTAAGTAATAAATAGGGTAAGAGTGACTATGGGTAAACTATATCATCACCAGTGATAGAGGTGTTTCAGTCCGTTTCAGTTTGCTGGTTACTATTGATCTCTCTTGATATTTCATTGCCAATATTCAGTACTGTTGTATTGTAATGAAATCTTAATAATAATAATAATAATAATATCTTTGTGTCTGAATGATATTATGTGGGTGGTGAAAGATACAGAGTAAAAGTGTTTTTCCAAGGATGCAACCCACCAATGGGAAGAAATTCAGTGGGTTGTTGCATTGTCTATAAGTTTTAGTTTTTACTTTCAGGAGAGATTTCATATTTTGAAGAAAATAATCTTGAGTAAAGAAAAATATTTTGTTTTTCAAAATTCTGAACCAATAGCCGAATCAGACTCGAAACCAGAAGACAGGAGTGAGATATTGTAACGTTTGTTCCTCATTCACACTGAAGAATGGTTACAAGATGTGAGGTTTAATGTGTGTTGTTGCTGCCATTCTCAGCAACCTGTGTGAACTAAATGTTTTACGTTGATACTGTCAAAAACAAAGAAACAAAACAGATTTAGAAGTGAGTTTGATATGCATGTAGCATTGTCAGTATGTGTTACAGGCTGAACAGATCTTATGATAAGCAGTGAGACACACCTACCACATTGGGTAAATGAACAGTTTTAACCAAGTATCATTTTTGTATTCATGGTATGAATTTATTCACTCCATTTAGCCTATCATATTATTTAAATGCTATTTTTTGGTAATTTATGATGTATGTAAAAAAAGTAATGATGGATTGCAATATAGAAAGTTTGAAAAACAGTGGAGCAAACATTCATTTTTATTACATCTCTTAAATTATTTGACAAATATATGTAGATATAAAACTGGATAAGATCATACTTATATTATTGATAGTCTTATTTACAAGCCATTTATAAAGGGTTTTGATGGTTATTATTTATTCTTATTTATATTTGCTAGTTTTTGTACCACTGTTTCTTGTAGCCAGATATTTTTCTTATAGTTGTATCATTAATTTTAATCTAATTTCAGAGAGCTGTACTAGAGCCAACTTAATGAATACTAGTTGTTCAACCACTTTGTTAAAAAGTAGTAATTCCTCTGTTTTATATGTGTATTCCTAAACTGTTGGGGGCACGCAGTAGCATAGTTAGTTGAGGTACTATGCTACAAGCCAGAAGGTGACAGGATCGAATCCAGATGAGGTGGATTTTTCAATTTACCTAATCCTTCCAGACACACTGTGACCCTGGGGTTGACTCAGTCTCTTAACAGAAATGAGTACCAGGGATATTCTTGGAATATTCTTGGGGGTATAGGGTGGCCAGCACGTAAAGCTGACAACCTTGCCACCATCTATGAGCCGACTGTCTAGAAAATGTGGGAACCTCAACATCTCACAACCTTATGGGCCTGTTACACGGTAGCCTTTACTTTTCACAATGACAAAGCAAAATTGTTCAGCCTTAGGACACTAAAGAACTACTTTAAAAATAACTCTTTTATAATTTGTGTTACAAATGTGCCAACCAGTTGAGGTTAAAAGCACAAATGACTTAACTGTCAAAGTGCAGCATTAGAAATCAACCAGTCAGCATTGTATTTCCAGTATCTTATGATGGGGACATTTTTGGTAGTTGGAAAAATGAAACTTAAGGATGGTGTTTGGGAACCTATATGTTAATTTTTTAAGGTCAAATATGCATGAAAGTTTTGAGCTTTAATGTCAGTTTGGTGTGTGTTGGAATCTACAGCGGATAAGAACAAGTTCTGCTTTCTTGTTATTTAAATATAACCAGCTGCAGTGTCTGTTGCAAGTTGTTACACAGTTATAGTATTTGTTTAATCAGCAATGACTTGCCACTAGATAGCTGTAATGTGAAACTTTATTATATGCCAAGACTAACAGATATATTTATGTTAACTGATATTTTTGTCAGATAAGTCAAGAAATATTTTGTCTTGTAATGGGACCTTAAAGATTTTCAAATTATTGTTACAAGCTATTCATTTGAAGAAAGCAGTCTTCTGGGATTTGGCACCATGTATATGTGGTGTTAACTGACGTTTCGGAGTGGTCTGCTTTTACCGGTTCTCACGGTCTCTTCGCTTGCAGATTTCTTATATTTTTTCTTCTACCCTGAAGATGGAGGCGATACGTTCCTCCGAAACGTCGGTTAACACCACATATACACGGTGCGAAATCCCAGAAGACTGCTTTCTTCATAGTCACCGCCGTGAAAGCCTCAAATCTTACAAAGCTATTCATTTCCTTCCTGAAATTGTTGAACAACATTAACAGTTTCCATAGCTTGAACTTACCATCTCTTACATCAAATAAACAGCAACAGAAATAAATGCCTAAGTATGACTGTCAGTGACAGATGTTTCTACTGAAGTATATATAAGTAATTTATACATGAATGAGAAAGTGTTGCATGGATGTAAGAGAGAGAAATAAAGAGTTTTTGAATGCCTTGCAATGGATGGAACAGGATCTGTGACATGTATTTGTGATATTACCAATGTCTTATAATTATGTAAGCAATTTCTTATATCTATTATGTAATGTGGCTACAGAGTTAATGTGGATGGAAACTTAAGTTAAATTGAATGAGGGTGTTAAGTTTGAATAGATATATTTATAGTTACAGTGAATGAGATATAAATATGATATTACTGAGGCCAGTGTGTTTCTAGCAAATATCTTATGTTGTGGTTTTGACAGCTTTTTTGTGTTTTTTATTAGAGAAACTGTAGGTATTTTTTCCCCCTCCAGTTTTATCTTTATTTTGATTGAGACTGTACAAGCTTGGTGACTGTTTGCCACCTAAGTACCCTACAATAATAAAGTATTATTATACCCAAGTATTACCTTATTTTTCTAAAGCCTCTAAGCTTCAGGGAAATGAAAAGGATTTGGTCATCTAGCAAGAAACGAATTTTAGGTCTTTTGAAACCCTGTTAAGCAAGCTCTGTGTATCTTTATCTGTGTGCCGATTTAGTTACGGACATCAGGAGTGTAGACACCCATTCACTAATTTTTATGAAACTGTTTGAGCATCATGCTGTCGGAGATTTCACCAGTTGTACTTGTCTTAATTGGCAGTGCCAAAAAGGCAGTCATGCAAATGTTTGAACTGGGTACCATTCAACATAGGGGGGCACATGGTAGCGTAGTGGTTAAGGCACTGTGCTACAAGTCAGAAGGTCGCGGGTTCAAATACCGATGAGGTCATTGGATTTTTTTCAGTTGACCTAATCCTTCCAGCCCTGGGGTTCACTCAGCCTCTAACAGAAATGAGTACCAGGAATTAAATAAATAATTTTCCTGGGGAGTAAAGCGCGGCTGGCGCCATCTTTGAGCCGATTGTCTAGATAATGTGGGACCCTCAACATCTCACAACCCTATGGGCCTTCATGGCTTTACTTTTTTTACTTTTACTTTACCATTCAACATAGAGTCTTGCCATATGGTATGGTATGGTAAAACATCTGTGGAAAATATTCAACTTTTATTAAGGTAATTATTTTAATGCTGTAAAAACAAGAAGGCAACCTTGTATTTTGGTGTCATAACTGAAGAAATTTGTATTGTGATCAGTTATGAACACATACGATAAGTAGTATGAGTAACATTAAGTCCTGCAAGAACTAGTCCTGTGCAATCCTGCAATGCAAAACCCCAAAGACACATGCTTTTCATATGTGTTCATAATTTCTGCCAAGTAATTTTCTGTTATATCCTGAAACTAACCGACTTAACAGTTTGATCTGGAGGTGACATGCCAGACTCATATTCAGGAGGAGCATAGTTTGAATATCAGCCAGGGCACATGGTGCTGACTGAGGATTTTTATGGTTTTACTCAGTTGCTCCAAGTGAATTCCAGGGTAATACCTCAGGCCACACATACACTTCATTCCAAATCCTTTCCAATTCATCAGTCCTACCATCTGACTTTATATAGTCTTTATGCTGAAAGCATCATTAAGTAAGCCATGAAAGATGGCCGCACCATAGCTCAAGCGTTTAGTTGCTGGCTTCCCACTGCAGTGGCCCAGGTTTGATCCTGGTTCTGGTCGAGTGGGATTTGTGGTGGACAAAGTGGCACTGGGGCAGGTTTTCTCTGAGTACTTTGGTTTCCCCTGCCAATCGTCATTCCAGCAATTACTCCAGGATCACCCTCACCTATCATCTGGGGCCAGTACAATAGGCCAGAAGTGGCTGCAGTACAAGGAACTTAGTCCCACCCCACTAGCATTAAAAAAAAAGCCATGAAGACTAATCTCATTAGATTTGTATAATTATTTGTGTAATTGTAGTCCTTAATGTGTGAATTTTTGGTCGCTCTGCCATCAGTGGTATGTTCTTGTAGTCTGAAACAGCCATGCATCTACAGGTAGTTCAGTTTTCCAGTTTACACTGTTTTGATATGATGCTGTTAAATAATAACAGGTGGTATCATCATTTTATATATTTTCTTGTTCTGTTGTAACATCATGTTGAATTGAGCGTTTCAAATTTTGGTCAGTTCTAGGACTGGGTTGCATCTTTCTGCTTGTTATCAGTCAGTATTGTAAGGAACAAAATCGCAAAAACAGGACTATGCTGATAACGTGAAAGTCATTTTTATGCCACTAAGTATGACTGATGCAGTCAATGGACAAAGAGGTGTTAAAAATGCTCGTAACCCATTACTTCAGGTGGACCATGCTGCTGCAGCCCACTGAGACAGATGACAAGGACAAGCCAATTCAGAAGTTTTAGATCGGCTACAAGACCAAGAAGGTCATAGACAACAAAGGGGCAGCATTGGCAGAGGTCACACAAGTTACAATGAATGGCTTATGGCAGAATATACATTAGGAGTGCATATAGGTTTTACAGGAATTTGTGATTGTTCCCAAAATTCAGCTGCAGAAGGAGATTGGTTACAGTGAAGTATCATGATGGAAACACTCAAATCACACAGTGATGAACTGACCAAAGAGGACTGGATTAAGTTGGAGCAACAAAGGGTAAGAGAGCAGATGGAAGAGGAAATGCAGCCAACATTGCATGTAAAACAGCTGACAGTGAAAAGGATGTCTGAAGTCTGAAGTTTGCTCAAGGAAGGGAGGGCCACTGTTATCAAAGGTGGCCCGAACATGGGATGGAACAACAGTTCAGCCAAGGATTGGGTTGTCTCTTGTGCTGCTGTAATGAATTGTATCCAGAAAAGAAACATAAATCTTTTCAGACTACTGTCCTTGGCTTCTTAAAACATGAATAATGCGTTATGACTAACAAATGATAGAAGTTTAGATACTATGTGTGTGTATTCTATTGCTCTGTGTTTCAAATATTGAATTTTTAATCTCTGTTTGTAATAAATATGCTAAGTTGTGTTCAGAGGGCATACAGTGCCATAGTTGGTTGAAGCATTATATGCTACAAGCTGGAAGGTCATGGGTTTGATTCCTGAGGAGGTCATTGGATTTTTCAATTGACCTGATCTTTCCAGCTGCACTGTGGCCCTGGGGTCGACTTAGCCTCTAACAGAAATGAGTACCAGGACTCTTCCTGGAGGTAAAGGGCAGCCAGCGTGTAAGGCTGACAACCTCACCTCAATATGGGAGCCTCAATGTCACATAAACCTATGGGCCTCCATGGCCTGTTACAGGGATAGCTTTACCTTTTTTAAGTTGTGATGGTGGGCCCAAAAATGCCATTTATAACAAAAAATCAGTGAAAAATGTTAAATTTACATAATTTTGATATATGTCTTTGTTCTTAAGAATGCATCCTCAGTGTAAATCAGAGACTACTTGTAATGTAGGGATAGAAATGGCATGCCTGTTTTAATTTCACTGACCCTTCTATTTAACAGATCACTTGATCAGTTGATACTATGCCTGACATGGATTAAGGCCAGAATGATCATGTAGTGATAGTGTAGTGATAATCTGTAATACTACAAACTAAGTATTATCATGGTGAGTTGGAAAGGGCGTGGAATGAAGTAGTTGTGACAGTATTTCATGGTAATATCTTAGCGTTTTGCCAAATGTATTGGGTTATACCACAAAAGAATCTTTGGATATTTAATTATTTTGTCGTGAATTTATAGTGCATGAACGACTTTATTCTCAGAGAAAATATTTGTTTCTTATCTTTATCCCCAATCCCCTTTCTTCCTTTACTTTATGACTCCTGTACCTTTACCTATCCACTTCCCTCCTATTTCTTGTATTCTTTCCCCATCACTTTCAATTGTCGGCACTATCCACAACCCTAGGAGCACGCAGTAGCATAGTTGGTTGAGGTCCTATGCTACAAACCGGAAGGTCGCGGGTTCGAGTCCCGATGAGGTCATCGGATTTTTCAATTCACCTTATCCTTCCAGTCGCACTATGGCCTTGGGGTCGACGCAGCCATTAACAAATGAGTACCAGGAATCTTCCTCGGGGTAAATGGCGACTGGCGCGTAAGGCTGACAACCTCACTGCCATCTGTGAGCCGATTGTCTAGAAAATGTGGGTGCCTCGACGTCTCACAACCCTATGGGCGTCCACGGCCTCTTAGGGATAGCTTAGATCCACAACCCTTTCCTCCTTTCTTCTTCCCTGCCATTTATACGTCAGTTGAAACAGTTTACATAAATGTGACTCAAAGCATTTTAATTGAGCAGTCTATCATAGTGGTAGTACTTCAGATATGTATTTTGGAGCTGTCCTGGCTGAGTTTTTCGAGTTCTGCCTCAGCCCCAGCACGAAAATGTAGGGATAATATCTCAAGCCATGATCGCTTCCTTCCAAATCCTCTTCGCTCTATCATCCATCAGGTTCGACGTTAAATAATATAGTTGCAGGAAGTGTCGTTAAATAACCCATAAACATCAACCTCTTACCCCTATGTCTGTCATCTGTAGGGTTAAGAAAACAGATATACTCGTACATCTTGGCTTATAATTACAGGTAACTGAATTAAAAAGTGTTATATCGAATAATAAGCAAATTTAATTATGAATTATGAATTTAATTATTAATGAATGATGTCTGTTTGTTTGGTACTGCATGGTTCAATTTATATAACGCATGTATTTCGTAATAAGTAAAAAAACTATCGTCACGAAAAAGGCGAGTAGAAGATCTGAACACGCACTGCAATTCGCACGTCCACCTGGAAATAGAAAACGAAGGAAATAGCACATTTAGAGGAAAACCATTCGTCTGTGGCTCTTCAGCCCTGTTAGTTCTTGGCCGCTTTTTCAGTTTCTCCTCGGACGGGGGACCAGCCCGTCGCAAGGCCGCTACCTGCACACAGGACAGCACAAACACAGAATAAACGCACACAGATATTCATGCATCAAGTGGGATTCGAACCCACGATTCCAGTGTCTGAGCGGGCGAAGTCAGTTCATGCCTTAGACCGCGCGGCCACTGTGATCGGCCCAGGAATAAATACAGGCCGCGTTTTAGACCTGGCCTCTGGGCTAGCGTGAGAAGTATGGCAAGAAGTAGTGGGATAGTGGTTGCTCCTGCATTGTGGGAGGGAGGATGATGCGTTGTAATTAAGAGTCTCTTATCCTACCGGTGTCCAGTCCCTACCCCAGTTACTGGACTCGACCAAATCCATTGCGCATTCGGTTGAGGACGACCAGGTTTAGAAACACGAGTAGTGCATTTGTAATTATTAGCAATTGTCGAGAGATGCACAAATATTAATGTCGCGAAAGTTAGGAATATCGCGACCTACATTCATTCATTCATTCATTCATTTACCTTTTCTTCTTCAGTTTCGTAATCCTTTTTACACAGACGGTAGGACACCTTGGACGAGTGATCAATCCGTCGCAAGGCCGCTACCTACGCACAGGACAACACAAACACAGAATAAACGCACACACAAACATCCATGCCTCGAGTGGGATTCGAACCCACGGTCCTAGCGTTCGAGCGAGCGAAAAGAGTTCATGCCTTATACCGCGCTCTCAACCTGCTTAGAGAAACTAGAGAATATATTATCCAAGAGCAAGGGAGCAATTACGTAATGAGATCCACAATTAGTCCTCAACAAATATATTTTTTCTTGGCACTACATCCCCAGTGGGCCTAGGCCTACCTCCATGAACCTTCGGTTTTTCTAGATATTACACATTCGGTACGACTCCTTCGGCGGGTGATCAGCTCGTCGCAAGGCCTCTACCTGTACACAAACACAAAAAAAACGCACACACACAAACTAAACATCCATGCCCTGAGTGGGATTCGAACCCACGATCCCGGTTTCCAAGCGATCGAAGACAGTACATGCCTTAGACCGCTCGGCTACCGTGACCGGCTCAACAAATATTAGGACGATGAAATAACTGGGACTCGTAGAGGAGGTGGATACGAGAAGTGCATACAAAATTTGAGTCGTAAAATCAGAAGGTAAGAAACCGCTTGGGGGGCTTAATCGTGTATGCTAGGATAATATTGAAATTAACTTGAAAGAATGAGGCTTTGAGGACATGGACTAGATTCATGTGATTCAGAACAGGACACAGAGACGGGGCATTTGAAAATACGCAGTAATGGCCCTTCAGGTTATATAAAAGTCGGTAAGTTCTTTGGCGAGCTGAGTGACTGCCAGCGTCTCAGAGAACAATCTTCTGAGCGAACCTGCTCAACTCGAGGTGATTTTATGACAAAGGTTCCTTCTGGCTGTTCTATATTTATTAATGTATAATTTTTACAAACCAGCCTATTCAGATGGAAATCTTTGAGGGAAAACAGACATGAACTCTACCCGAAATCAACTTACAAGTGCTTGAATAGTTTCCATATGAAATGTCTCCTTGAAAAGTTTCCTGTAATTTTAGAGAAGTAAATGACATGCTTTATTTAATATCGGGCACTCATCGTACCTGAGCGTTCGTTTTATATGTTTCATGAAATGTATACAATGAACGCATAATGGAGAGAACGTGGATTTTCTTTCGCGTGAATGCTTTCCCTCATTGCTATATCCATTTTTATTAAATTTCAAAGTGGTGGTTAGATCTGATTGATTTGGAGAATATTTAACTTTGATCTGTGTCGGCTCACTGTTACCGATTTATAACGTCCATTACAATATATGTGTGTGGTATGTGTATGTAATAAGCCTACAATACAAGGAAGAATAAGTTACTTTACTGTTATTTATTTATTTTTATCTATTCATATTTTCTACATGATGCTGTCGGTATCTCAGAATATAACATCGAATGGTAGGATGGTAAGTTCATAATGAATGGAAAGGGATGTCGGAGGAAGCGGTCGTGGCATGAGTAGAGATTATGTCCCGGAATATGCCTGGAAGGATCAAGGAATACCACGATAAACCACAACCGGGAGAGCTGATGTAACGCAATATATGTGCTGTTGATTATTTTTATCAACAGTGGATTCGTTTTCAATAAATTTAGTGATTTATAATGAATCTAGAAATGAAAAATCGGGTCTAGAAAATATATCTCCACATTGCAGTACTCCTTTTATCCTTGTGCCATGTCAGTCTGGTCTTGTGTCATTAGAAGAGGTCGAAATACACTTTTGTGTTATTAAGTTCGCTTTCTTGAAAACACAATTATATGAAGTAGAATATTTTAAAATCTCCTCGTATTCTAGTTTCATTAATTCATCGAATATTTACGAGAAAGGAATTTGCAGTTCTGCTTATCGCCAGGAAGGAATTCTAATCAATCTGTTACTTACGTTGGACTGAGCAAAGTCCATCTCTGCATGGAGAACTTTTACAGGCAGAGCACGACGTTCCCGTTTCGTACACACTAGAACCCCACATATTACCATGAGGTCCATAGTTGCACAGAAGAACTGTTGTTCTTCCCCGATCAGTTACATGAAAACTTCGTCCGCAGCCCACATACTTTGTTTTTGCCCATACTAGTTGAGTGTAGTGCCCAGTTACACCTTGAGAACTCCTGCAAAGAAGTACAAATCCATTTCACATTATTATTATTATTATTATTTAGAGAGGGTGGGTTTCCCCATGCACCGCGACCAGTTTGATCTATTGTGCTTCCCTCTATGATATTCTACCAGTCTCTATATCCTACCGATAAATGGTGCGTACCATCAGTCCCGCCGAGCAAGCGAGTTCGGCCACTTGCTCAGCGGTGTCTATAATGCTTCCCCCATCTATCGGAGGCCTTAGAGACTATTGTTGGGCGGGAAACGTCCTGGAATTTGGCTCAGTGATCCCCTTTGGGGATATGAGGTTCTTTTACGTGCCGTAAAGTTACGACACGGGACACACAGCTTAAAGTCCCTCCCGGAGGACTTGTTCCCTGAATTTTTCCGCCCTTAAAAATTCGACGATCTCCGCCGGGTATTTGAACCCGCGTACCACGAGTCATGAGGTGGGAACGTTACCTCTAGACTACTGAGGTCGCTATCCATTTCACATAGTCACAGTTTGTTATATCTTAATGTTATCCATTCTAACAAGAACTTACACATTTCAAATGAACTTAATGATGAGGGGTTTTAGTTCCACGAGCAAACCAAGGGCTGGAATACTGCCTCTTAGCAGCTATCCATAACTGCATATTTAACATACGCCTTTCAAAACACAAGAATGCTCCATGCTGCGACAAGGGTCACAACTTACAAATTTTTAATTATCCTTACTTAAGCTCGGAATTTGCGGTCACCGAGGATTTTGTAAAATTGCGTCTTGTATTGTCTGATATGCTCGTAGCGAAGGGAACTGTCTTACCCTGGGAAGGCGGTAATTGTATCTGGCATCACGTCTTCCACTTCGTCATACCAACTTTGGATTTGTCTTTCCAAAAGGTTCAAGAACTCTGGTGAAGTGGTTGTTATGGAAGCGAAGTTCTGGCCAACAGAAAAGCGTTCTAGAACAAATACAGCAAGCCATAATTATAGGGTAAATTCTTTAAGCATAACTTAGATTGACGAAACTGTGATCCAAATCGACACTTTATGCAAATACTGGGCAGTCCTACCTAAAATGTTGCAAAAACATTTCTAGTTGGGAGGATAATTTAATATTATGTTATTCGCCGTGCTGAGAAGAATGTATGGGCTTGCAGCAAGAGTAGGAAAATGAGAGGAGATTAATATTATTCACATAATAGAGTTTAAGTTGATAAATCAAGAAGGATGAGAATTTCAAGACATGAGAAATTTATACGAAAAATTTACTCGCACAAAATTATTTTTGGAAGGAAACATATAGGAGACCTAGACAAAGAAAGGAGATTGCTTCGCTATATCTACACAGGGCTCTCACTTAAAAGAGAGTCCATATTTGCCCTGCAGAACCCTGAAATCAAAGAAGTGGATCTTACAGAAATATGCTATGGCTTTAACTGTTTCTAATAATCTTAAGTTGTGAGACGTTGTGATGACTGAGGTGAGACTTGGGACTTTATATCAAGAGGAAACTGAATATCCTTCAAGGAAAGAATCGAGATAAAGTAATATGAACGTAATACACACGTACACACCTACTGTACGACATTTATCGTGTCCTACTTCACACTGATCCGCCCAGCGCTGAGCAATTTCCGCCAGTTCGTCGTCCCAAACCTGGGCGAAACAAAAGCACATGAATGCAATGAAATGTGCTAAATACTATCTGGCCACATCTGTGATAGTTTGTGCCAACTGATCCTAAAAAAAATGTAACATTTTAAAGGCATTTATTTGTAGGATGTGAAAGAAAAACAGAGTGGCATCTCAGAATTAATATTCGGGTTTCGATTTGTCGCTTATAATTACTGAACCTGTAAAGTTAGACATGTTAAAATTTTTGTGGTGGTATATCATAAGCATGCCGACAAATTATTTATAAAACATACATCTGTACTAACAATTACAAATCTGTCAACTATTTGAAAATTTCGAATTATACCTGGGAGATGAGACGTAATAGGAATCAGTAACAGTCGGACATAACTGCATAATTATAAATATATTGTGTAACACATGAAAGAATGTGAGCATGTTCTTTGCTGAATTTGCTATACTCACCAGCTCTGCCATGTTACTAGCCGGTGGCTGGGGTCCAGGATTCCCTTTATGTTCCTGCCCATTCGCTACCTTACTCCTGAGTTCGTTGTGCTTTCTGACAATCAAGTCCTTCTCTTTCTGTGTCAGAGGTTGTTTCTTATAACCTTCACATTTTGGTCCAGGAGATGTCTGTAACGACATGTATAAAAACGAGTCATATTTGAGATGTAATATATACGTAATGCTATTCTCAGCCTGTTTCTGAACAGGATGGTACAAGATCCAGTCAGTCCAGAACTTTTGTCTTCTCGTCTGCTGTCCAAAAACATAAAAATTAGAATATACAAAACTATAATTTTGCCTGTGGTTCTGTATGGGTGTGAAACTTGGTCTCTGACATTAAGGGAGGAATATAGACTGAGGGTGTTTGAGAACAGGGTGTTGAGCAGAATATTTGGACCGAAGAGAGATTAAGTGACAGGAGGTTGGAGAAAACTCCATAATGAGGAGCTTCATAACTTGTACTCTTCTCCAAGTATAATTAGAATGATCAAGTCAAGGAGGATGAGGTGGGCAGGCCATGAAGCACGAATGGGGGAGACGAGGAATGCATATAGGATATTGGTGGGAAAGCCAGAAGGAAAGAGACCACTGGGAAGACCAAGACGTAGGTGGGTGGACAATATTAAAATGGATCTTAGAGAGATAGGATGGGATGGCATGGATTAGATTGATCTAGCTCAGGATAGGGACCAGTGGAGGTCTCTTGTGAACACGGTAGTGAATCTTCGGGTTCCATAAAATGCTGGGAAATTCTTGAGTAGCTGCAGATTTGGCTTCTCCTTAAGAAGGGCTCAGCTCGGTAAGTAAGTAAGTATGGTACAAGATTGGGCCGCGCCATAGCTCAAGCGGTTAGTCGCTGGCTTCCCATAACGGCGGCCCCGGTTCGATCCCGGGTCTGGTCAAGTGGATTTGTGGTGGACAAAGTGGCGTTATGGAAGGTTTTCTCTGAGTACTTCGGTTTTCCCTGCCAATCTTCATTCCACCAATTGCTCCACAATTACTTTCACCTATGATCTTGGGCTGGTACAATAGGAAAGAAGTGGCCCACTAGCAATAAAGAAAATGGTACAAGATTTGTATGAGTTATTAATTAGGCATATTTAGAGGTATTTTCAAGATGGACAGACTAGAACTATAATTTATGCTTTAGTGAAATCGTAAACTATAGGACAGTTTCCTTAAAATGTATTGTTAGCCTGCTTCCCTGTCTGTGAGAGAAAAGTAGGTGCATGAGCTAACCATGCTTTCTGTGTGTGTCTGTGACCTGCTTTCAACTGTTGTTCCAGTTGGCCAATTTCCACGCAGTTTGGTAAAATTTAGTGTCACGTGGATTTGAATACACAGAAATTTTAGCGTAATTACAAATATGTGTACTTAATTCCGCCCTTCGACTTTTGTAACTCGTAGGGCGAAAGGGATAGCAGGAGCAATAGTAAACAGAAAGGAGAGGTGGGCCTCTCCTGCGTAGACGCGCCTCAAAACCACGGGCTGAATTATACGCCACTGTTGTTTGACAAATATAACATTCAGTCACTGGACAACAGCCTTAAGTGGTGAAGAGCTTTGCGTGGCTTAATCATCTGGAGAACTATACCAGAAGGGGCCTAAGCTTCTGATAAGTTTCATGCTAGACAGGGTAGCCAGAAGGAATGTAGCCTCTGGCCCTGCAGTTTTCTGGTTGAGCACTGAGTTTGTTTTGTTTTTATGTCCAGTTTCTTCAAAACCAGCAAACGGCTTCACCTAAATTCACGTAAACACGTGAACTATCATGATTTATTTGGGAATCTACCAGTGTGCACTATGGAAATAAATACTTTGAGATACATATGGACAACGTAGTTATAGAATCAATTAACAATCAAATAAACTACTATCAAAGTAATATATATATTCTATACACGGTCGGTAGGACTCCTTGGACGAGGGATCAGCCCGTTGCAAGGCCGTTACCTACACACAGAACAGCGCAAACACAGAATAAATGCACATAAATATCCATGCCTCGAATGGGATTCGAACCCACGACCCCAGTGTTCGAGCGAGCGAAGACTGTTCATGCCTTAGACCGCGCGGCCACTATGATCGGCCAAAGAAATATCACAGCAACACTTATAAGCCCGTTATTTTAGAACAATAAAATAATGTCAACTAGGTATATCATAAATCATACATTCGAATATCAAAGTGGTTTGAAATGAAACTTTCTAAAACCGAGCTTTCATGGAAGAGGTACTTATTGGGAGGAGTGTTGCTTCTCTGTGAAGCAAAGATAAATACCTGGAATTCGCACATCGTGTGTCGGTGAATTACTCCTCCATCTGTGCATGTTAATTTGCAATAATCGAAGCCGTAAGCCCAGCTACAGAGACAGCACAAAACGAAGACTCTCAGTGGCCCTGACGTGGCAGAAAACAAGTGTTAGGAGCAGACACCGATATAAGGCAATTCAGAGAGTTAAGTAATGCGGAAGAAACTTTTAGCCTGTAAACGTAAATGGGAGAAACCACATGAGAAACTTGAACGTAAATGGAGGGGTAAAATTGAAGTGGATCACAAGGTAGCGGGATGTGAAGTTGTGGATTGGATTTATCTGGCTTCGGTATGAACGAATCGCGGGCTACTGTGAACAAAATAATGAATCTCCCGATTGAATGAAAGGTCAGGAATTTCAAGAAAACGTGCTTTATTAACCACTTAAAGCCCAGTGATTCTATAAGGAATTGTTATAACTTTCTTGTCTGATTGAATATCTTTAGTTTTTACAGGTTTTTGTTTTTATTTCCTCTTTGGTTATTTTGTATAGAGATGATTATATGCATGATGATTTAAGTATTAATCATTTAATTTTACTGATTTTGATGTTCGTTCTTTCTATAATGTTTTTAATTGTTAGACCTAATATAATTAGAATTTTATTGGGTTGGGATTGCCTTGGGTTGGTTTCCTTGTATGTGCCACCTGATTTAACATATAAAAATTCTGCCCAGAGAGTGCAACTGTGCGTTTCATATCATTCTCACAATAAACAACAGTACTTTTCACGAAACAGAATTAACCGGCTGGTTTCCTATGAGATACGAAATGAATTTTAATACATTATTATAATAAAATGAAATTAATTTTTATATGGTTAAACAAAACGAAAGGCATGAGGATCTATACAACTACTCCCCCATACGTCTTCCTGATGTAGTGCTTAATTAGTTAAGCAAAGGGATAACTTTATGTCGTATGACAACACCTAGCAGATTCGTAAAAAAAGTAATGTTAATGAATGAACTACAGAGATCGTAATCATCTACATATATTAGATCGGCTCATATTAACCATTTGAAGCCCAGTGGTTACAATACGTACCCCCTGCTGTAACACACGTAAGCTCTGCATTCTGCCAACAGAGTGTATATGTGTGTTTCATACGGTTCTCATATTGGAGAGCGATTTTTTCTCTAAACAGCATTAACCGGCTAGTCTTTGTAGCGGAGTCATAATGTATTTCCTGTGAGTTACAAACTGAAGTTTCACATAATGTTTAGAAATTCGAAATACGTTCTGGTCGTGATCCTCAAGAGGCTTGCCGCCAAGACGAACTTATTGCCGGTAAACCGCTAGTCTTAAAGTAACTCTTCACTCTGACTCTGAGTTCTGGTACGGTAACGACGTAAGCACGAGAGCAGAGGAATCCCCATTGTTGAGAACTCTAACCGAGCAATGACTAGTGAAGACTAGTGAAGCCAAGCAAGAAACCAGCGTGAAGCACTTAGCAAGCAGAGCTCTGCTCTTCGATCCTGAAGATGGAAGTGACATGTTTCTCCGAAACGTCAGTTGATTTTCAACGGAATACACGGCGTTACATCTCAGAAGTCAGAAATCTTCAAATATTCAAATTTTCGATAATATGTATGAAATGAGCCTTTTCCCTCTAAATCGGACACACTGGTCAAAATAATAATATTAAAAAGTTTTAACAAACATGGTTTTATTTTATATGCAGAATATATAAACTTAAATGTAGGCCTACATACAAATTCATTACACAAGTTTAAGTAATGGCTTTACTTAAATTAGAATAAATGTTTGCTGAAATGAAACATAATTTGCTCCCATTGCGGTTAAAGATACATGAGAAGAGCAAGGAAAAATATAGAAGCGGAGAAAACGTGATGTTTTGACTCAAAAATTAATACACAAAATTGTGATGAGTTGGAAAATTGTGTCAAAATTTTGAATCAGCATATCAGAATTAATTCAGAAAGTAAATTTATGTTACCTAAACTTTGTTGACTATTATTATTTTAAGTTAAATTATTTCTCTCCAAAAGAAACAAATCCATTTTTTGGCCTCTTTGGAATACTACATGATGAACAAAGTCTAGAAACAAGTAACGTTAAGTTTAATGTACCATCATCAGAACCGTTTAGAATTAATTGAATATACTACAAGTCTACTTACAAGAGAACATTTCTAAAAAAATGGCGATCCGACGAATAGTATGGAATTACTTCTCAGAAACAAGAAAATAAATTTGAAAACCTGTTATTTACTGTTGAGTTCGTACTTCGAAAGATCTATGGAATGTCGTTATATGAGTCAGAGTCAGAGTCACGTTACCACTGACGGTCAGTCAGCCTGAAGAGACACTAGTATTCTTATATAACCTAGAGTCGGACCTATAGAAAACATGTCACTGTCCGTATTGTTGTAGGCGTTGCCTAGCAACAGTTTTCTATTCGCCGTTGCTAAGCAATGATACTTGCGTTGTCACTGTAACATTTGCTTGAATGTGGGCAGTTCCCACAGATCGTTATCATGACAATTATACATATCCACTTCTTCTTCAGCCAAATATCTCACGGCCGCTTGAATTAATCTAAATTAATTTGTATATTTCCCGAACTCTGCATACACACGCAATGCTCGTCTGTCTTGTGTTGTACCTAATAATCTATGTAATATGCACCTCCCCTGTGCAGATACACACTTCAACATTGACACAGGCGCATTAACAGTAACGGCGTTTCCGCATTACTGCAACAGTGCTAACTTATCACATGAGTGATAAATATTGCTAGACTCATACTTCAGTTAACCATTACTGGTAAAAAAACAAATTTACTTTTCCTTATCTTGGCTTTACTCTGACCTATTCCTACTTACACCTGTACCTCACTGATATAGGAAGTGGGGAGTTGAGAAGGAAATTGATTATACACATTTCAGTAATCGGAATTCGAATATAACTTATAAAACGGAGCAGTGGCCCATAGGGTTGTGAGACGTTGAGGGTCTCACATTATCTAGACCAGCGTTTCTCAAACTATGGTCCGCGGATCACAAGTGGTCCGCGAGGTGTGCCCTTGTGGTCCTTCAAAAAAAGACAGAAGAAAAAATAAAATTCAAATGAATTGCGTATCACACTATAGCTGAAAATCTCAGAGTTTCGAAATTGCACACGGCAACCGTCTTTCACTTCTACTTACCTGTGTGAGAAAGGGTTTTCATCACTAAGTCCAATAAAAACAAAGTACCGAAATCGACTCGATGTATGTGATGATCTCCAATTTAAGCTCACCAGCTACATCCAAGTATAGAACAACTGTGCAAGAATCGGCAGGCTCACCCATCTCATTAATGTGAGTACCAACATTTATTTATTTTTTAGCTAATAAGTTAAAGATTATCCAAATTCTAATAGCCTTGAATTATTACAAAACGGATATGAATTTTCTTCTATTAACTTAATTACTTAATATTAATATAAAATTAATTGAATTACATTAATTTTAATTAATTCTATTTTAAAATATAGGTATACTGGTATTAAAAAATGCTAAATTTGCTTTTGAAGGGAACAAGAGTAAGGTGGTCCGCAGAACTGTTCTGACTTATAAAAGTGGTCCTCACTTCAGAAAAGTCTGAGAAACGCTGATCTAGACAATCGGCTCCAAGATGGCGGTCGCGCCAGCCGAACTTTACACACCAGGAAAATTATTTACCGTATTTACGCATGTATAGGCCGCGTGCGTGTATAGGCCGCAGCACAAATTTCAGACAGAAATTATAGAAAAAATAATTTTCTTGGAATATTATTTCAGGAGTAGAACACCCTGCATTACTAATTATGAATATATTGTGACATGTTGAGCTCTGAATGACGCCCCTCCCCCCCCTCCGCCAGCCGTGATGCGCCGAGCGAAGCNCTACGGCGTATTCAGTAACGTAAACACGTTACAATATATTTTTTTAAATGAATTGTGATTTCGAATATTTCGAATATAAGCCGCGCCCCAGTTTTCCTCTTGAATTTTTGGCAAAAAATGTGCGGCCTATACATGCGTAAATACGGTAATTAATTCCTGGTACTCATTTCTGTTAGAGGCTGAGTCGACCCCAGGGCCATAGTGCGACCGGAAGGATTAGGTCAATTTAAAAAATCCAATCGGGACTTGAACCCGCGACCTTCCGGCTTGTAGCATAGTGCCTCAACCAACTACGCTACTGCGTGCCCCTGTCAATAAACGTAACAAATATTAACAGGGAAATCTGTAGAGAACTACTTAAATTTTATTCTCTGTTGCACAGGTTTCCAGGAATACAAATCTTGCACCACATTCAGATAACAAAAATTTACAGACCAACAATAAACTAAAAATAATCTTATGAGTTAGTGTGGTAGACCCAAGCGGAGGTGTCGCTTCTTTATGGGAACAACTTATTACTTAATTACAGACTCTGTGTAAGTTACCAGTATCATACGTTAAAATTGTAGGACTTGTTCGTAAACATGCCTGTACACGCACAGAAAAATCAGTCGCTGACAGATTTACTTCAAGCCAAGCCTAAAGGTGCGTTCACATTACTCGTGCTCGTGCTTGTGCTAGCCAGGCTTGTGCTCGTCGGGAGACTCGTCTGGCTTTTACTTGTGCTCGTAAATCTTCGCCCACACTACTTCAGTTGCTCGCCAGGCTTCGGCGCGTAAGGATCCGTATATTTACTCGTAGTGTGTACAGGCTGTAGTCGTATTTTAATTTATTGGCTATAGTTTTTAAATTAAAAATTAAAAATTTGCTTGTATCGTGACTTGTCATATCGTCCACATTACTCGCGAGCATAGCGAGTCACACGAGCACGAATAATGTGGACGCGCCTTAAGACGATACAGGGACAAAAATTCTACCTGACGTCTTAGAACTGCGCAGGCAAAACGGACGTTAAGACTGTGGGGCCCTTAAGAAACTGAAATGTATGCGGTTCAGGTGACCTCCAACTACAGAATATCGTGCCAAATTTCCTGAAACTAGGTCAATTGATTTAAAAGTTTACATTGAGAGAGAGACACACACATACAGATAACATAATATACTTACAAGTCTACGCCCTTTCCTCGAAGGAGGGACGCACCTAGGCTAAACCTACTAGACATTGTCATCGTGTATTTTACGATTCCAAACAATGCGATCTTGCAACTGTGAATAATATTGTTATTATACAGAAATAATGGACATGATGTCCTCAAGTTGAAAAGTCTCCATGTCAATTTTCATGAGAATTTGCCAGTTAGAACTATATGATCGACCTAATCGGCCAGAAACCTTAGAAGTTGAACCGGAAGTAGAAGTAGATACAGAAGGGAAAGGACCATATATTTTACAAAGTGGGGTGGAAAAAGCTATCAAGGAAATGAGGAAAGGAAAGGCTACAGGAGATGATGATGTACCTGGAGATGTGCTCAAGTTACTGGGAGAAGGTGGTTTGAAAACACTGACAAAACTAATGAACACCATATATGAAAGTGGAGAGTGGCCCAAGGACTTTACAGAAGTTACAATGATTGCCTTAAAGAAAAAGACAAAAGCTACAAAATGCAGCGACCATCGCACAATAAGCCTTATTGCACATACAGCAAAGATAATAGCAAAGATACTT